AACACTCTGACAAACATCGACCATAAATGCAGCAAGTGCTCTTTGAACGTGCGTCCGAACACGATGACATCATCCAGATAAATGAGGCACGAATCCCATCACAGACCTGCAAAAACCAATTACTTCAGCCTTTGAAACTTAGCTGGAGCCGAATGCAGCCCCATAGGAAGGCATTTAAATTGGAACACCCCTTTTGGCGTCCAGAACCCGGTCTTAGGTTTGGATTTCTAGTCCAGGGGCGGCTGCCAGAACCCTGATAAGAAATCAAACGTAGAGAAAAACTGGGCACCAGGCAACGCATCCAGGGAATTGTCCATCTGAGGGAGTGGATATGCATCTGCCATGGAAATTTGATTCAGTTTCCGGAAATCTATGCAAAAGCACAGGCTCTCTTCCCTTCTTTTTAACCAATACAATGGGAGCACCCCACGGGCTGGTAGAGGGAGAGATAATGTCCGCGGCCAACATCTCGCCAACTGCCTGCCGGACATGGTCCTTCTCTTAGGGGCTCATCCTATATGAACTCTGTCTTATCGGGGCTGCGTTCCCCATGTTGATGCAGTGCTGCAGTAACGAAGTGCGGCCAATGTCAAATTTTCCCTTGCTAAAAATATCCGCAAACTCTTGCAATAGAGCACCCAACTCTTCCCATTGTTCTTGGGTCGAATCGGAATTTTCGGAGCACAATTTGTGAATCTGTCTCGTCCGACTTGCCTCCCCCTTCCACCACGCCAACGACTTCTGTTGCAGCTGTGTCAGTCTCCTCACAATGTGCAGCAGTTGCATGGGCCAACACTGTGCCAGTTTGGACCACAGCTGCCCAAAGCCCAACATTTTGCACCTGTGAAAAGGGCTCTTGGTACGTTCTGACAATAGTCTGAGCGCCCAACAACTTGAGACCCCGAGTCGCTATTTTAGACCGGGTTAAGAGGACCCCCTCCTTTGGATTCGCCAATTCCAGATGCTTCCTGAGCCATAAGGGCACCAGTATCTGTGCACCTGGTGGAACCGTAACAGATTCCTTCGCCAGGGCCTGGACCGTGGCATTAGCCACTGCCAGCCTAGTAGGGGATTGCAGAAATGCCAATCGCTGTCCCGATGGCATTTCAATGCACCCTTGGTCAATAAGGCAGGGCACAGCCAACGACTTGGAGACCAATACCAGCCCAGTTTCCCCTATCCGAACCCTCGCCACTGTCTGTCCCAGAATCCCCAAACTTCCACCGACTCTATAGTAGTAACTACTGACTATACAGTCAAATCTAGTGACGACAGTAGTATCTACCTACTACTATAGTAGTGTAGTGACATCGCGGTATGTAACTGTGTAGTGCCGGCCCTAGAGAGGCACGCTGTGCGGTGTATTGACATCGCAGATACCACTCCGGTGTGGGTGTAGTACCGGCCCTAGAGGGGCTCGGTCAGTGCTGATTGATAGCGCTGGATGGCATCATGCTTGGTGTGCAAAGCCGGCCATAGGGCAAAAAGGGTAACTGAAGGCCATGGCACACTCGTTGACCCGAGAAGACACGTGACGGGTTAAGTCTACAAAGGGGCCGCAAGTGGGGGCTTAGGGGTGATCACGTGGTCGGGGTCCAGATGCTGCTCGAGGATTCTGGAAGGTGGTCGTGGCCAAGGGCAGAGCCAGCCATGCCACAGAGAATATAAGCCGGGTCCCCCAGAGGGGCTGGGATTGTTCATCTTGAAGGAACCTTCGTCTATGTCTACGTTCAACCGAGTCTCCAACACGTGGACCTGGACCCGAGCTGTGGTCCTGGTCCGTAGTAGATAGTTATGTTGTAATTAGTGTAGTTAACCTGGTGGTCACCACCATAGGTTGTCATTCTGTTAAGGGGCAGTTACTCTGTTGGTGTTAAATACGTGTTGCCTCGAATAGTATGACTGAAACTCAGTTGCGCTCGCAACAGTAGAATTCACGTACTCTACAGTCATAACTACTGACTCTATAGTAGTAGTTACTGACTCTACAGTATTATCTACAAACTCTATAGTACTTCTATAGCCAATGCCTATAGTAGTAACTACTAACTCTATAGGAGTATCTGATGACTGTATAGCAGTATCTGCTGACTCTATAGTCGTATCTACTAAATCAGTAGCAGTAAATACTGACTGTAGTGGTATCTACTGACTGTAGTAGTATTTAATGACCTTATAGTAGTAACTACCGACTCTATAGTAGTAACTACTGACTCTACAGTAGTATCTAATGCCTGTAGTAGTATCTACCGACTCTATAGTAGTGTAATGACATCGCTGGATGCCACCATGTTGTAGGTGTTGTACCAGCCCTAGAGGGGCATGGTGTGCGCTACATAAAAGCGCTGGATGGCACCAGGCCATAAGTGCAGTGCTGGCCCTACAGGACAGGGTGTGTGGGTGCCGACCGAAGGATAAGGTTGTGCTAGGCCATGGCACTCTGGTTGACCCGGGAGGATACGTGACCGGTTAAGTTGATGGAGGGGCCCCAAGAGGGGGGGGTCACATGATTGAGACCCAGATCCTTCCCGAGGATTCTGGAAGTTGGGCGTGGTGGAGCCAGCCACGCCACAGAGAATATAAGCCAGGTCTCGAGAGGGACCAGGGTTCTTCATCCCGGCAAAGAAACCCTTTGTCCCAGGCGTAGTCAGCGGACTCAACAGAAGTATCTGCCCACTCTACAGCAGTAACATTTGACTCTACAAAAGTATATATTGACTCTATAGTAGTTTAATAAAAGACTCCGTCAGGCACTGCTGGTCTCCGCTTGTCTTTTATTCAGGTTCTTCTCCGCACCCCGCTGGTCTCCTTCTCGGACCAGCGTCATCTCGCGCGCGCCCCACGCACGCTCCCCTCTCGCGTGCCACGCACGCTCCTCCGTTAGCTCCTTTACTCCCGCACTCCGCACACCGCTGGCCGACGGCGTGCTGAGGTCCTTCGGCCACGTGGCTGATGGTGCGGATCTCTCTCTTACCACCCAACGTGGCTCAGACTCTTAACTTCCCCGACTGCCCCGATCTCTTCCGGGCTTCCACTTATATCCATTCCCCCAACGTGACCCTGACTCCCCCCCTTCCCGATCGTCAGATCCAGCCTTCCCATACTACCCCACTGGCTCCGCCCCCATTCACCTCGCCTCCCATTGGAGCCGAGGTAAACGGTGGCCCCTCCCACACGCCCCGCAGACCAGGCTCCGCCCCCCAATACCCCGGGCCGTGTGATTGGACCAGAGCTCAGCAGCAACCCCATTTACGCTCGCATTACAGTGGTATTTCCTGAGTTTACAGTAGTATCTACCGACTCTACAGTAGTATTTGCTGACTCTATAGTAGTATATATTGACTGTTCAGTAGTAGCTACTGAGATTACATTAATAACTACTGACTGCAGTAGTTATCACTGTAGCGATTGTATATCCAACCTCCTGGCGTTCTGACAAACGAACATTCAGGGCTACGTTTTAGGGAATGCTGCATGCGTTTTTTAGTGCTTGGACCCCGAGTGAATATTAACCATTGGGAACTTGCAGAAGGAGTTGCCGTAAAGCAATGACGTGGGTGGAAGTTTATGGCAAAACAATCCCCATGATGGATACAAAGTGGATAGGCTCTATCCAGCAGTGGATTGACAAAGGCTGGATTTTCCTTTTATTTCAAGAAGAAATATATTTAAATCATATACGATCTTAAAATTGTATCTTAACTAGGAAAATGAACGTTGTATTAGCAAGTTTACCATGTAAAATTATGGGGGGAACAATACACGTACCATGACAGTGAATCTCCAATGGTAATGAATGTACGTGAAGTGAACCTGTGCAGTGCAGAGTGAGTGGGTCCTGGACTCAAGCTCCGTGATCTCGGAGCCCAGCTCCCGGAGGCATTCAGTGCAGCACTCTCTCCCCCGGCCTCCATGACTGCACGGGGCCGCTGTTGCCTGGAGCTGGGACCGGCAGTGGAAGGGTTCAAGTGGAGTGGGGGTGAGAGGGGGCCCTTAGAGAGTGAGTGCAGTCTCCCCTGGTGACCTCTCTCACAGAAACAAGTGGGAGATGAGACGCGGGCGGTGGAGGAGAAGAGAAGGGAGGCAGAGGAGTCCGTGAAGCAGATGGAGGCCGCTCGCAGGGACGTGCAGGTACCGCGTCTGGGCCAGACACTGTCACACCACCCTGAATAGGGTTTGTGATGGATGGACAACCCCATTCATTAACGTGGACTTGCATTGGTTTTGAACACACCGTGGGACTAAAGACACAACGGTCAATCCGCCTCAATGCTCAGACGAGCAAAGAGGTGGCTCTCATCTCCAATAAGGAATTGATTAATTGGTGGAAATAAAAAATTCCCACATCTGCATACAACTTACCACTTCAACATCCGTTAGTAATATTGGTCAGATGAGGTAGTAAATACCTCTTATCCAATACTCTGGTGACAAATTTGGTGGATCACACATAGACTGTTGTACACCATAATACTGAAACCAGTTCTGGATTTTGGTTGGCCAGATGGCAGTATAGCAAGTGGGTTCATGATCCCCTATTTTCATTTATACATCTGTGGTGGGTTTGTTCTCACAATCAAAACACTAATTTAAAGAGGAATTGGCCTATCGTCCCATTTCAATATTTTATTGAAAAGAGACTCATTGAGGATGTATTTTATGAAGGTAAATTACAGATGTCCATTTGCTTCATGCGAAGGTAAACAAGCGCGCTTCCTTATTGCCTTGCGCAATGAGAATGGCACAGACGCTAAATGTACTCAGGATGGTCTTTGATTTCAATGCCTCACAGCCCCCTCCCGTTATGGCGAATTGTGTTGTAGTGAAAATGCACAGCGGCATTATCGGATGCAGAGGAAGAAGGAGGCTTCAGTGCTGCAGACTCGTATCACTGTCTGCACACCTTCACAGTTGCACTCGAGTCACACCGACCTGAATGTCATTTCACGAAGAATCAGACATATTTAATGAACAGAGGTGGCATTTCTTTATCTTTGCAGGGGTCCACGACAGATGAAAAGGCCTCAATTTCAGTCAGATTCGCCCGCACGAGAGCAGCGTTGGATGCGGAGGAGAAGGCGGCTTTAGAGCAAGCGGAGCAGAAAGGGCGCGAGCAGCTGTCCCAGATTGAGAACAAGATTGCTCACTACCAGCGCGAGATCAGCGAGCTCCAGGCAGCAGCCACTCGCCTGGAGGCCCTAGCACAGGAAAGGGACTCGCTCGCGTTCCTGCAGGTGAGCCATGAGTCTCCCGTTTTGCTATTGGTACAGAGCCCTCTCACCAGCAGCAGGAGAGGGAGGCTCCTGAATGAGAGTTTGCATCCACTGGGCTTGAGAATACAGCACCATTCATGGATTCGCATCACAGCTCCAGTGGCTTCCATTTGGAAGGCCAGCTCAAATTTTCTCAGTTAAATGAATTAGCTCTCCCATCCTTCAGATTCCCATTGAGTTTCTTTAATGGTGAATATGAACTAAAGAGTATTGGAATTTCACTTATAAAATAAACCATAAAACAACAATGTACACGGTATTCATGATTGTCATCAGCCATAATCTATCCACTTATTGTTTAAGGCGTCCCTAAGCCATTGCCACATCCCATGATGCCTCGATGCAACAATCCACTAGCACCTGTTCACGAGCCGATTTCATCTCCGCTTCTTACTTCGTGTACCTCCACTTTGATGCGCGACCTTCATTGTTCATATTAGGGATGCCAAAATATACACGGTCTCATACACTTATTAATTATATCATTGTGTCTTGAACATCACTTCTACAAGACCTGCCATGTGTGCATTTGTAACACCAGAAATTACCAGTCCTAAATTACTCTCAACACAGATCAATATCAACCGGTCTCACTCTGAAATATTTGCCCTGCAAATCAGTGTTGGTCTTCATGGGGGCGGCGAGATGATAACTACCTCGCCTGGTATGCCGGAGGTCGTGGATTTCATCCCCAACCTGACTTCCTTATATATTTGGAGATTTCATGTCTCCCTCCATGGTCACATGTATTTTTCTCCAGGTCCTTCAGTTTTTCACTCCACATTTGAAAACGTGCGTTTAGAGTATTGGGCTGCTATACATTTCCACGTGATTAACCACTCCGTTGAGCTATCATTTGTGGCCAGGTCGCTTCTGAAAAAGAGCTACATAGCTCCGTGGGCCTTACCTGGAAAAATAAAAATACTAGTTTTTAGTTGACTATCAAGCGGTCTCACTCTGAAACATTTTCCCCATAAGTCAGTATTGTGATCATAGGGTCATAAGCCAAGACTCTGGGGTTTATATTCAACTGTGTTGCAGTGGAAACTCCACTGATCACATGGGATTGGAGGTAGAATCACAGTAACACATCTCTCTCTCTCTCCCACAGGGGCACCTGGAGGAGACGCGCAGGTACAGACGACTATCATTCACGACTCGACACACGACAACATGGGACTGAGTGTGGGGCGCAGACAGTGAGACACTGGCTGTGTGGGGATGCTGTGTGTGGTGATGCTGTGTGTGATGGTGCTATATGTGATGATGCTATGTGTGGTAATAGTAATGCTGTGTGGTGATGATGCTGTGTGTAGTAATAGTAATTCTGTGTGGTGATGCTGTAATTGTGAGATGAGTGATGATGCTTTGTTTGATGAGTGCCTGTGAGATGGAGCTGTGATGATCCAGTGAGTGACGATGCTCTATTTGAGACAGCAGCCATGTCTGCTCTGCTTTCACAGGACAGGGAGGGTTACATCAGCTCCACCCTCAGCTCCCAGCCAAGAGGACATTGCCTCACTTAAAGTCCTGGAGACAACTGCAGTCAAACGCTTGTGTGAGTTCTTCAGTGTGAATCATGTGTGATGGGGCCATCTTGACAATAAATGATCCCCGTGTGTGTGCACGAGGTCGACTTAGCCTCAAATAATTGCCTGGAGTTTTATAAACATCACCACTAGGGAGAAATATGGCAGGCGTAGTGCTGACCACCCACCCCTCGTGTGTCATGTCAACCTTCAACGGTGCTGATTTGCCCCCACAGTCTGCAAAGGCTACACGGGGGATATTTATCTGTTTACATCCTGGAACCTCATGTGGTGTGTAAACAAAATCGCCACTATTGAAACAAAGGTGGTCGGGCGTGGTGCTGGCCACCTACCTCGTGTGCCATGCCAGTCTTCATAGAGAAACACGGACAGCACTTGTCCCAATTGTCTGTGAAGGCTACACAAAGGATCTCGGTCTTTGTTCACATACCATTCCTGGACCCTACTGAACAGAACCATGAGACTCAGTGTGGTGTTCTTGGGTAAATAATCGGCATTACGAGTCAGAGGTAATTAGGATGTTGAGATGGAGTGTGTGCCTGTGAATGTATCTGTGCATTTGTGCATGGGGGGAGCGGTGCATCGTGGTTAGCACACTGCACTACGAACTCAGTTACCCGTGTTTGATTATAATTACCAGCCATGGTTAACATCAATGGCAGGTGATATCTGATCCAGTCCTGGGCCTCTGCTAGGCAGTTTCATCCTCAAATGAGTTCCTGATGCTGGTTTTATGGTCATAATGATGGTGATTGTGGTCGTGATGAAGATGTTGGTAATGATGCTAATGTTAGTGATAATGTGAGTGATGAGAATGGTAATGGGTTTGGTGATGGTGTTGGTCGTGGTGATGGCAGTGATGGTCGTGGTGATGGTAATGATGGTGACATTGGTGATAATATAGGCGGTGATGGTTTTGCTGATGGCGCTGATGGTAGTACTGATATTGGTGATGGTAGTGATGGTGGTCATGATGGTTTTGATGGTCATTGTAATGGTTATAATGATTATGGTCGTGTTGGTGATGTTGGTGATAGTGATGAAGATGGTGGTGATGGGGATAGTTGTGTTGGTAGTGATGATGGTGGTGGTGATTGTTTGCAATGGTGCTAGTGGTGGTGATGGTTGTGATGTTGCTTATTGCGATAGTGATATTGATGTTCGTAGTGTTGATGATGGTGGTGTTTATGTTGTTGTCATTGATATTGATGGCATGGATGCTTGGTGATGGTGAAGATGGTAATGTTGATGGTGAATAATGGTGATGACGGTGTTCTGTAGTGATGTTGTCATCACTGTTGTCACAGATGGACGCTCACCGACTCTGGACACAAACTCGGCTTATGACTACCTCCAGATCTCCTCGAATCTCAGGACGATGACGCTGACCGGTGCCTCCCAGGGTCGCCCCGATCACCCACACCGGTTTTATTGCTTTGCACAAGCCCTGTGCAGTGAGAGCTTCTCGTCGGGCCACCACTACTGGGAGGTGGACGTGGGGGACGCGCGACGGTGTCGTGTTGGAGTCGCGTACGGGACGATCCCACGGAAAGGGAGTGGTGGTGCTGCACAGCTGCTGGGAGGGAGCAACGCATCCTGGTGTTTAGAGAAACGTGACGACAACTTCTCAGTGTTTCATGGTAGAGTGAAGACTGCACTGTCGGTGAGGGGGGCCCCCTCCCCCCGCAGAATCGGGCTTCACCTGCACTGGGAGGGGGGCCTCCTGGCATTTTACCGCGCCGACTCCATGGAGGTGATCCACGACGTTCGGCAGAGATTCTTGCAGCCTCTCTACCCTGGGATGTGTGTGTGGTGTTTTAATGAACCATTGAAGATCGTGGATCTGAGTGATGCATCCTGAGGATGGGGAGAGAGAAACCTAATAAACCGAGACAGAAACCCAATAAACGGAGGAGAGGGGGATGGTGACGAGAGGGTGAAGTGAGAGTGAGGCAAAAGTGAAACGGAAGGTGGAACGGAAGGTGAGGTAAGGTGAGGGGAGGGTGAGGCTATGGGAGGGTGAGGTGAAAATTGACGGAAGGGTGAGGTGAGCGTGGAGGGGGAGAGTGAGGTGAGCATGGGGTGAGGTTCAGGTTGGTGTGCGTGAGCGATGTCACTGGTGCAGTACAAATCGCCGGTGCGGAAGTTTGAGGGATTTGAATGAAATTTGAGTGGGAAATCAGCGCAGCCCCAGAGTCCGTGTGGCCGCTCCTTCACCTGCAGTGCGCGCTCACGTCACCACACCTCCTCATCCCTGTGATTCACCATCATCACCATCATCACCATCATCACCATCATCACCCCATCATCACCGCCATCAACACGGCCCCAATCATAATCACCATAGTCATCACCACCACCATCATCGCCATTATCACCAACAGCATTATCACGATCATGATTACTATCAACACCACCAAAACCATCATAATCACCATCAGCAACATCATCGTCACAATCATCACTATCACCACCATCATCACTATCACTGTCATAACCGCAATCACCATCATCACCAACACCACCACTATCATCACCATCATCATGATCATCTTCATCATTATCATTGCTCCAGTATCATCACTAACATCACCACCAACCCATCATCATTAACATCACTATCATCAATATCACCAACATAATCAACATCATTATCCCCATCATCACCACGACCCCGATCACCACCACCACTATCAACACCAAAAAAACACCATAATCACATCCATCACTATCATCATAAGCATCACTATCATCACAACCACTATCATCATCACCATCACCAACACTGCCGCGATCACCACCACCACCATCATTATAGCAACCATGATCACCATCATCATCATAGTAATCATAATCATTACTATTATTACTATCATCAAAACCACAAAAAACACCATAATCATCACAATAATCACAATCATCATCACCATCATGATCATCAATACAACAATACCCACCATAATCATCACCACCATCACTATCATCACTATCATCACTATCATCACCGTGAAAACCACGATCACCCTCATCACCATTTCACCATTATTACCACCACTACCACCTTCATCACAATCATCACCATCACAATTACTATCACCCCCCCCCCCCCTCCGCAAATCCCTTATCTCCACATGAATCATTAAAGACAATACACACCACGTAACGTTTTACTCATCCCATCATTCGCAGGCACGGCCTTCTGGGAGTGCCTAATTGAAGCGGCATTTGGTTCAACGCAAGCAACACTCTGTGCAGGTTTCGACATTCAGTGTCTCATCAGCAGCAGAGTCAGGCTCGCGTAAAGCAACTTACTTCGCACCGTACGTAGACAACCGTGCAAATCGGAGGTGCAATGCTGGCGAACAGCCTAGATGTTCATAGGCAAGGATCGATTCAGACGTTCAGTGTCTCATCAGCAGCAGAGCCAGGCGTTACTTAAACCAAGGCTCACAAAGTTTTGCCGACTGGTTTCCTGGCCGCCTGCCTGTATGTATGTTAAAATTATATTGCAATGTATGTAACCAACTGGGCTAATCGCAGGTGCGGGGGAAGGACAACAAACTAAACACAAAAATAAGTTCTAAATAAATAGTTTGTAAATTTAGATGATTTAAAAGTGAAGAGCTCCAGTGGCTTCATAATAATGTAAGGAAAGGCGGCTGCAGAAGCAGCACCACTAACAACGCCACACAATACGGTGACCGTTTTTGTTCAATCCTGCAATAGGATTATAACCATTACTGTGCGGAAATGTTCATAAGATTTGATGACTGGATTCCTGGCTGCTTGCCTGGCTTCTTGGCGAGCGGGCGAGCAAGTGATGACGTCACGGCGTGCATCTGCGGGATGACGTCACCACCGCACCCCAAAGCGTTGAATCGGGTTCATGCGTGGTGCTGACGTCACAACCTCCCTCCAAATCTACCATTCACCCCAGAGCGTTCATCCCACGCAAATGAGTGGGATGCGTCATCAAGCTATCATATCATATTCAGATCATCATACTAGCAAACTACATTAGAAAAATTATTTTTTTTTGGTTGGATGGCTGGAGCGATATATGGTGGGACGCAGTGGTGGCTCCTGCAAAATCTCTCAGGGGGGGCAAATGTCTGGATGATTGATAAGGATAAGGTCCACCCATGCAATGGATAAATTAACAGCTTAAGCATGTCAAGGCAACTTCACTTCTTTAATATTAATGAAAAATAAAGTGACTCTTACAATACATCTTGTTTGTTTCTATACTCACTATTAAAACAAACCACTCAAGTTTCTTTTATTAAAGATTCCACTAGGTGGCCACAAATTATATTGTTGGATGAAACGTGCTTACGTATGATGACGTAAGCACGTATGATGACGTAAGCACGTTAGGGCGAGCCCTCCCGGAAGCCATAGAGCAGGGGTCCTCAAACTACGGCCCGCGGGCCACATGCGGCCCGCCGAGGACATTTATCCGGCCCATGGTCACTAATTGGGCTGCGCTTGTGAGCACTAATTGGGCTGCGCTGGTGAGCACTCATTGGGCTGCGGTGGTGGGCACTGATTGGGCTGCGGTGGCGAGCACTGATTTGGCTGCGCTGGTGAGTACTGATTGAGTTGCGGCGGTGGGCACTGATTGAGCTGCGGCGATGGGCACTCATTGGGCTGCGCTGGTGAATTGTTCAATGGGCCAATTGACTGGACTTGCCCCCCAGGCCTAAGGCTGCCAGCCCTCCCCTGGTTGCACTTGACTGGCTCTCCCTCAGCTCCCTCACTTGCCCCTCGGCTCCACTCCCAGTGATATTCCTGTGTGCTGGGGATGTACTGCGATCTGTGAACAAAACTGCAGGTGTAATTAACTTTATAATGGCACACGCACCAGTGTGAGCCTGGGGTAAAAGCGGAGTTCCCCCAATCAGACTGCATTGATGGGCAGTGCAGTCTGTATGTCTCTGTGTGGGCAAAGTTATTGCTGGTATATTGTTTTTGTAGCGCTGTATATATATATTGGTATTTTACTAATATCAATTTTGACTCCCTAGGAAACAATGATGTCAAGAAAGAGAAAAATTGACTCGGAGTGTAGGATATTTAAAGAACAGTGGACTTATGATTACTTTTTCATGCAGTACAAGGAAAGAGCTGTGTGTCTGATATGCCAGAATATAGTGTCTGTGTTCGAAGAATACAATTTACGTCGACACTATGAAACTCAACATAAAGATAAATATGATTGTTTGGTCGGAGAAGTGAGAAAAGATAAAATATTAAAACTGAAAAATGCATTAACAACTCAGAAAAATACTTTTGTGAAGCAGAAGCAGCTAAATATTTCATCACTGCGAGCAAGTTTTCAAGTTGCCAAGCTAATAGCGTGCACTGGCAGACTATTCGTGGAGGGAGAATTTGTTAAAGAATGCCTTCTTTCTGTTGCCAAAGAGATGTGTCCAGAGAAGGCCGATTTATTTAGTACAGTGAGTCTTTCAGGACCTACAATTACACGGAGGATTGAAGAAATGGGAGACAATTTGCATCAGCATTTGCAAAACTCCACAAAAAAACTTTCCTATTTTTCCTTGGCACTCGACGAAAGCAATGATGTTCGTGATTCTGCACAACTTCTAATTTTTATTCGTGGGACGAATGACTATTTCGAAGTCACAGAAGAGCTTGCTGCACTGCAAAGCATCAAAGGAACAACTACAGGAGAGGATCTTTGAAAAGGTTTGCCAAACTGTGAATGGTTTGGAGCTGAATTGGGCTAAACTAGCCAGTGTGACAACGGATGGTGCTCCGAGCATGGTGGGGTCTAAGAAAGGAGTAATTGCTCGCATTAACCAAGAGATGGACAAACATAACCATTCTCATCCAATAGCCATACACTGCCTCATCCACCAACAAGCGCTGTGTAGTAAATCACTGAAGTGGGACTCTGTTATGAAAATTGTGGTATCTTGTGTTAACTTCATTAGAGCTCATGCACTAAACCACAGACAATTTCAGGAATTTCTGTCTGAACTAAATGTTGACTATGAAGATGTTCTGTACTACACAGAAGTCCGTTGGCTGAGTCGAGGTAGAGTTTTGAAACGTTTCTATGACTTACTTCCACAAATTACAGCTTTTCTGCTTTCAAAAAACAAAGAAGTACCAGAGCTCAATGATGCAGAATGGAAATGGCACCTTGCCTTTCTGACAGATGTAACAGAGCTACTCAACAGTTTCAATGTGCAACTTCAAGGAAAGGGGAAGCTCCTCTGTGATATGCAATCACATGTCAAAGCATTTGAAATAAAATTAGGCCTCCTCATCAAACAAGTTAAGGAGGAAAACTTCTGCCATCTCCCCACAACTCAAAATCTGTTAGCGGAAAAACCATTGGTTGCAATTCCCAAACAAAACATGTGTGGATTCACTGGAAACATTGCAAAAGGAGTTCCAATTTAGATTTAAAGAGCTTCATCTCCATGAACAGGGCATACAGCTTTTCCATAACCCATTTTCTATTGACATTGAAAATGTGGATATAATTTACCAAATGGAACTGGCTGAACTGCAGAATTGTGACTCTGAAAGACGCATTAAAGTCAAGCAGCCTTCATAATTTCTATGCATCTCTCCCCTCTGAGACATAGCCTCATCTTAGGAACCATGCACTCAAAATGGCAACCATCTTTGGCAGGACTTATGTCTGTGAACAGACTTTTTCCAGAATGAAACATTTGAAATCTCCAACCAGATCTAGACTAACGGATGCACACTTGCATCACTTGTTACGACTAGCAGTGACAAATATGGAACCGGACATTGACCATCTCATTAGCCAAAAGCAGGCCCATAGTTCCCATTGAAATACAGGCAAGTTTGTTGATTTAACTTTACTTGTTCTTCATTTTAAATATTGTATTTGTTCCCATTTTGTTTCTTCACTTCAAAATAAGATATATGCAGTGTGCATAGGAATTTGTTCATAGTTTTTTTTAACTATAGTCCGGCCCTCCAACGGTCTGAGGGACAGTGAACTGGCCCCCTGTTTAAAAAGTTTGAGGACCCCTGCCATAGAGAATGCATTGCAGCGCCCCCCGGTCGAAAAAAAACATCTTTGAATGTAAGTCTATGGGGCCACTCGGGGCGATTCTCAGCCGGAGTGAAATCGCCCAAAAAGAGGCGGTACTCCACAGAACGTGACATGACGCTGATTGGACTATATCCAGAGGCTGCAGTGACGGCTAGCGTGACTCTGTGGTTGAATGACATTGGTGGTGCGTCGCCCAATCGCCCTAATGAAGAAACCGCCCCTGGTGGGACAGACAGTCAGGTACAAAGGCCATGCGGGCTGGTCGTGTTTGATTAGAAAATACAAATGTTCAATAAAAAAAATCACAGCACGTATTATTGTTTTGAGTATTACTGTGTATACAAAGCGACTTTAACCTACAGTCTATAGAAAGCAATACACGTACAACGACTCAGACGAATTTGACGTGAGTTTGTGTGTGACCAGACCAGGACTCGCTATCTGATTCAATACAAATCCTATTGTAGTGCTCGTTCTGTCTATCAAAAAAAATGTGCCAAGTCTGCTGCATGGTGAACATGAAAGATTTCATGCATTAGCACTTTGATAGATTAACTCAGACCCATAGACTCACCGCACAGAGACACAGACTCACACAGACTCCGTCACACAGAGACCTATAGACTCAGACAGACCCATAGACTCCCTCACACAGAGACCCATACAAATACCCAGACTCCCTCACACAGAGACCCATAGACTCACGAATAGATATATACACTCACACAGAACCACAGTCGGTTATGCCGCCACTGCTGCTGTAGTTGTGGTTGCTGTAGTTGTTGATATTGTGGTTGTTGTTGATGTCGTTCCACGGGGATGTTGAGGCTTCGGTCCATCGTGGGTCAGGGCTGGAGACGGCTTCCCTGCACACGTTGCTGGTGCTGTAGAACGAGAGGTATCCAGAAACTGACCACATTTCCAGCTTGGATACCCGGTGGGGAGCAGGGAAGGGGCAGAGGAGCACAAGGAGGCTGCCTCTGACACCTCCCTATGGCGGAAAGGAGCCAGCAGGCGCCGGCTCGCTTCCTTTCCTATGACGACGACGGTGTCAGGCCGGTGGTGGTGCACGACACGCGGCATCGAGCTTCACCCTGAAGTCGGGTTGCTCGTGAATGTAGCCCAAAGCGGACGGTGAACGCCATCTGAGGCTCGAAGTGCCTTCAGGATGAGTCAGTGTTGAGGAACGCGTAGGCTCGGGTGTGAGTGTCGGGATGAAGGAGTCATCCTGTGGTGTGTCGTGAGCGCACCGCATTTGCCAAGAGATCCACTACGGCATGAAAGCTGGGTCTACGAATTAAAGACAAACTAACCCTCTAGAATTGCCTCAAAGTTTTGGTATCAATTTTTATCTCACTAGACTCGACCCAAACTATACACTGGCGTGACTTAGCTTACCAAAAATATTATAGTGGCAGCGATAAAGGTGAGCCTGGAGAAGTAGGCAAGAACCAAAGTAAAACATTGTAGTGTATATTGGTGTGGTATACAGTCCGGAAAATACAACCCCCTACCTCCTCGTGGTTCTGGGCGGCAACGCTGTGATGGGCAGTGCCGTGGGGGGGGAGGGCAAATTTATATGGGCCATTCCCCTCATGGCTTTTGTAACCACCACAGCGGCCAAATGGCAACTCTGGACGAGTGCAAGGGGCTGGTAACCCCTCCACCTTCAATTACCACAAACCCACGTCGAAAATATCTAATTAAGCTTGTGCCGGAGGCCTCAGGGAGACAAGCGTCTCTGACGTCTCCTGGCCAAACCCCATTTGGCAGAGCCAGGAGATTTAATCTTTACCCTCGGGGCTCCTCCAGAACCAACATAAAACCACTGAGGGTGGCCACGTGGAATGTTCGAATGCGCACTGCGGAGGAGAGGCTGCCACTCCTCTGTCAGGAGCTGGACTGGTACTGCCTGGATCTCTGTGGTATTCAGGAGGTCCGGTGGACCAGTTCTGGCTCCTGCCACCATGAAGAGTGGACAGTCCTATACTCGGGGCAGGAGACTGCCAAACAACGGGGAGTGGCTCTTCTTCTGTACAAAAGAATGAAGGCGGCGTGGGCGCGTGACGGTGAGGTGTGGGAAGCGGGAAGCCCAAGACTACTTTAGGCTCACCTTCCCATCAACCAGAGGCGAGGGGTGGTGGTCATGGTCACTTATGCCCCCACCAAAGACGAACATCCGTGGAGGGATGCAGGCAAGGCTAATGAGTCAGATTGCTTCTATGACCTCCTGTCACAGGTGCAAGCTAAAGTGGCCCCTGGGGAGAAAGGCATCTTGTTGGGTGACTTCAATGCCCGAGTTGGTTATGATGCTGGTCTGGAGTGATTGGAAGGCATGGGCCATATCAGCTTAATAAAAAAGGTGCTAGAATTTTGTGCAGCCCATGGGCTTGTAATTACCAACACGCTGTTCCGGCATTGGCGCATCAACACAATATCATGGATGCATGCCGGGTCCAAGCAAAAACATCTGCTTGACTACGTAGTGACGGAACAGCGGATGTAGGCCTATGTCCTTGACACCAGGACGTACCATGGAACTGATCTGACCACTGACCATCGACTAGTCATCTGCAAGATGCGCCTGCCATTCTTCCACTCCGGTGGTGGGTGTACACCCAGGACCCCATTCAAACCCAAGGTGGCCTGGTCTCAGCTAGCTGATGAACGTTGCAAGTGATAATTTAATCATCGCGTGCGGCTGGGGTTGGCATTGTCCCCCACTCCTCCAGATGTCGAGGGAAAATGGGCGAGGTTTAGAACTGTGGCTCATACAGCTGCAATAGTTGCTGGGGGTACATTGTCAGCCAGGGTCTCTGGAGGTCTGGACGGAGTACGTGTTCACGCTGGCTGAGAAAAAGGGATAGGCTCACTCTCACCGTCTACAGCATCCCAGGTCAGAGAATGAGGAGGCTTACCACAGCCTTCGAAGTTCGAAGAGCTGTGAGGCACTGCAAGGATGGAAGGTGGTCGCGGGTCACCGAGGAGATGGAGTCTGCCTCAATGGCCCACGATCACAAATCACTCTTTAATTCCATCAAAAAAGTAACCTGCAGCGCCACACCTATAACCATCATTAGGGGAAAGAACAGTGATCCAATCTCCAACCCCCAGGAATAGATGTGCAGATTTGCTGAGCATTTCTGTGAAGTCCTGGGGGAGGGGATATCCCTCGGCATGGAAAACATCGTGGGACAAAGTGGCGATGACCCTGCTGGGTGAGGTGCCATATGTTGAGGAAGTACTAAAGGCGATCCAGAGTCTGAGACCAGGAAAGGCACCAGGCAGAGATGATCTGCCAAGCAAAATGCTGAGGGGTGGCGGCGTTTGTGTGCAGACTGCCTTACATGACAACATAACAACATTTTCTTGGTTCTTTCGGTAAAGTCACGTAGAAGGGAAATAATAAAATAATAAAAAAAGAAAATACAATTCTCACGACGTTTCGGCCACAACGCAAGCAGCATGTACGCCAAGCTATTAAGGCTAATGGTTACTCCGACTACACAATCCGCAAAGCCATCACTCCAACCATCAAGAAGGATGCTGTTGAGGAGCCATTCAAAACCATCACCTTACCCTAAATTGCGGGTGTCACAGAAAAGATTTCCAAAATCTTGAATAAACACAAGATCCAGGTCCGATTCAACACAGTACATTAAATCCGTTATCTGGTCCCGTCTGTAAAAGATGTGGTTCCAGACATACAGTACTCTGGCGTCTACAAACTAAGTTTCCTCTGTGGTAGCAGTTACATTGGAGAAACCAAACGACACGTCTCGGACCACATCGTGAACATAAAGCGGACTTGAAACACGGTAGGACAAACACCTCAGCCGTGGCAGATCACTGTTACAATTCAGTGGGCTCACATGACATTGACTTCTCCAAGACAGAGGTTCTCTGTCGATTGAAAGCTTTCGTGACTGCAGGGATTCATCTTCTTGGTTCTTTCGGTAAAGTCACGTACAATGGAAATAATAAAATAGTAAAAATAAATCATAATAAAATAATTCTCACGACGTTTCGGCCACAACGCAAGCAGCCGTCCTCGGGTGAAGAACAGGTCTGTCGAGAAGACTGTCTTCTCGACAGACCCGAAACGTCGTGAGAATTATTTAATATGTTTTATTTTTATTATTTTATTATTTCCATTCTACGTGACTTTACCGAAAGAACCAAGAAGACAGAGGTTCTCTGCAAGCCATCTGGCTACTATGAGAGATTCGTTCATGAGGCGATCCACATATACAAACACAGACAATTTCAACCGAGAAGATGGATTCTGGCTCAGCAATCATTGGAAGGACGTAATAAACCATTTCGGATCTTAACTGATTGTGTTCACATTTACGGTGAGTTTCAGACCGCAGTCCACTCATTGGCATTGACTATATATCATTTGTGTTCTCCGCAGGGAATGAAGTCTTTGCTCCGCTGCAAGTCTCATTTCACCACTCTCCCATTGACATATTTCGTTGCTTCCTCTTAGTATCTTTCACGCGACGGTCAATGGCATAGCATATAGCAGATTGTATCATAATAAATAGTATAAAAGTGTAATGTTTAATATAATGTATAAGGTAATATATAGTATCGTAATTGTATAGTGAATATACAGCAGTGTGGTATACAGTAGGGTGGGTAGAATAATATAGTGTAATATAACAATGTATAGTCTAAGGTGGTGTATAGTAATGCAGTATATAATTTAATGTTGGGTTTGTCTATGTGTTGTGTCTATACCCCCTTTTTCATTTTTATTTTATTTTATTATTTCCATTAAGAATTATTCTGCCAACATATATAATATTGTTTTTTTTAATAGACACGGGGCAACGTGGGAACGGACACGCACCCACACTTCCACAGATGCGCGCATACCTCATTTCAAAGGAAAGAGGGCATGAAAGAGGGCAGTCAAGGTTATAAAAACTCCCCGAATTTCACACAAGAGGAACAGGGGAGGGGAGAATTGCAGGCGGGGGGTTAGAATGACATTCTTTCGTTAAAAAGTCTTACAAAACCAGGCACCACAGAGGAAGATATAATTATATTCTTAACAAAGAAAATAGCATCGACAACAAAAAAAACACAGACGGGTTTGAATCCTCATGTATTAATTCCATACGGACATTATGTACACTTGGTAGTTTCTACGCGGCCGGGCCGAAGCATCACAGCCACCTTT